CGTGCCTGTAATCCCAGCTACTCAGGAGGCTGAGGCAGGAGAATTGCCTGAACCCAGGAGGCGGAGGTTGCGGTGAGCTGAGACCGCATCATTGTACTCCAGCCTGGGTAACAAGAGTGAAACTCCATCTCAAAAAAAAAAAAAAAAAAAATACAAAATGAGCCAGGTGTGGTTGCACATACCTGTAATCCCAGTTACTGGGGAGGCTGAGGCATGAGAATCCCTTGAACCTGGGAGGTGGAGGTTGCAGTGAGCTGAGATCATGCCATTGCACTCTAGCCTGAGTGACAGTGAGACTCTGTCTCAGAAAAAAAAAAAAAAAAAAAAAAAAAAAGTGGAATCATGCAGTATTTGTCTTTTGGTGACTGAAAATTAGCCTGTGCTAATTTTTTACTCTCCAGGGCTCTTAACAGTAGCTACTAGTGTTACTCTGAGGTTTCTTTGTTAGCCCTTGAAGTTGATAAGGAAATGTTGAAGTTTCAGCTTGTTCTGTGACCAGTTATAGACAAAAGGTCATCCTCGACCTTTTTCTTTTTTTTAAAGGTGTGTGTCACCACATCTAGCTAATTTTTTTTGTATTTTTAGTAGAGACAGGGTTTCACCGTGTTGGCCAGGCTGGTCTAGAACTCCTGACCTTAGGTAATCCACCTTCCTTGGCCTCTCAAAGTGCTAGAAATCCAGGTGTGAGTTACTGCGCCCAGCCTTGACTTCCTTTTATCATAGCACTGATACCTTTTTGTGAATCTGAATGATAGTTCCTACCTTTGGTCTAATGAGGGTATAGTTTGTAATATTTCAAAGACAAAATTCTTCAAGCAGTCCTAAAGATAAAAAGAATTTAAAATTATTACTACAATCTGCATATTGTTATTTTAAATATTGATGCTAAAGTCAGATCTTTGGACCTGGAAAGGTTCTCAAGACATCTTCTGGTTCAGTTCCCTGGTCCAAGGCAGCTAAATTATCCCAACTACTGTTTGAGATAAGCCAAGGTCCACAGAGGTAAGGACTGATGGAGGTAGAAGGGAAGAAGGAGGTTGTGTTGGTGATTGGTAAAAGAATTGACTGTTTATTCATTTATTCAATACCTGTTGTACTTCTACTATGGGTCAAGCACTTTTTAGGCACTAGAGTCAGTAGTGAGCAAACAGATAAAAATCTCTGTCCATTCTCATGGAAGGAGAAATAGATAAACTAAATAAGTAAATACATATTTGTCAAATAATAAGTACTCTGCAGAAATATAGATGGGAAAAGAAAGATAGAGTTTACCATGATTGAACAGTTGGGAAATGCAGTTTGAAATGGGGTAGACAGGGAAGCTCTCATTCCATTTGAGCAGACTTGAAGAGGTGAGGGAATGAACAATGAAGATTCTGGGGAAAATGTTTCAGACAGAAGGAACTTCAAATGAACAAGTCCTACGGCAGCAGAACACCCAGTATGTTTGAGGAAAAGCAGGGATGCCAGTGTGGCTGAAGTGGAGTGAATGAGATGGTGAGTAGTAGGAAATGAGGGGCAAAATCATTGGCCTCATTGGTCAGTGTAAGGACTTGGGGATTTTACTCTGTTGAGAAATCATCAGAAGGTTTGAGCAGAAGAGGTACATGAGCTAACTTTTCCCTTCAAAGGACACTGACTGTTGTGTCAAAAGGAGAGTATAGGGAGGCTAATGGAGAAGCTGGGAAGTAAGTTAGGATGCCGTTATATTAATGCAGATGAGATACTGGTTGTGGCTTGGAACAGAGAAGTGATGGTAAAGGTTGTGAGAGAGCCAGATTCAGGATAGATTTCTGAAGATTAAGTCAACAAAATATGCTGACACATTGTAAGTGGAAATCCTCAAGAATGCCAAACTCAAAGGACTCTAATTATGAGAATTTTAGAGATCATATGAAACTTCTAAGTTGCCAAGCACACTGATGAATTGTGCCCATCTGTTTGAATTGTTGAATTATGAGAAGCATGCCTTGGACTTTGGGCTAATATTCTTTTTTTTTTTTTTTTTTTTTGAGATAGAGTTTTGCTCTTGTTGCCCAGGCTGGAGTGCAGTGGCACGATCTTGGCTCACTACAACCTCTGCCTCCCAGGTTCAAGCGATTCTCCTGCCTCAGTCTCCCAAGTAGCTGGGATTACAGTCATGTACCACACCATGCCTGGCTAATTTTGTATTTTAAGTAAACACAGGGTTTCGTCATGTTGGACAGGCTGGTTTCAAACTCCTGACCTCAAGTGATCCACCCACCTTGGCTTCCCGAAGTGCTGGGATTATAGGTGTGAGCCATCGTGCCCAGCCATGGGCAAATATTCTTTTTTTTTTTTTTTTTTTGAGACGGAGTTTCGCTCTTGTTACCCAGGCTGGAGTGCAATGGCGCGATCTCGGCTCACCGCAACCTCCGCCTCCTGGGTTCAGGCAATTCTCCTGCCTCAGCCTCCTGAGTAGCTGGGATTACAGGCACGTGCCACCATGCCCAGCTAATTTTTTGTATTTTTAGTAGAGACGGGGTTTCACCATGTTGACCAGGGTGGTCTCGATCTCTCGACCTCGTGATCCACCTGCCTCGGCCTCCCAAAGTGCTGGGATTACAGGCTTGAGCCACCGCGCCCGGCCGATTTCTTGCTTTTATACCTGGACCATGGGATTTATGTTGTCATAATACTTTTTGTGGTAATTTATGCTAACAGATTGGACCAAACTTGAAATGTCTAAGGGCTTCACATTAAAAAAATCTGAATTTTACTTAGAAGCTATGGAGTATACCAGAAATGATTTCTTTAAACCATGAAGAAACATTTTGTTACTACTTTTAGCTGTCAATTTTGAGATGTTCTTTTTTTTTTTTTTTTTTTGAGACGGAGTTTCGCTCTTGTTACCCAGGCTGGAGTGCAATGGCACGATCTTGGCTCACCGCAACCTCCACTTCCTGGGTTCAGGCAATTCTCCTGCCTCAGCCTCCTGAGTAGCTGGGATTACAGGCACATGCCACCATGCCCAGCTAATGTTTTGTATTTTTAGTAGAGACGGAGTTTCACCATGTTGACCAGGATGGTCTCGATCTCTTGACCTCGTGATCCACCCGCCTCGGCCTCCCAAAGTGCTGGGATTACAGGCTTGAGCCACCGCGCCTGGCTGAGATGTTCTTTTTTGCTTATTTTTCACTTTTTAAATTATGAAATCTGGGCCAGGCGCAGCGGCTCATGCCTATAGTCCCAGCACTTTGGGAGGCTGAGGCAGGCCAGTCACTTGAGGTCAGAAGTTTGAGACCAGTCTGGCCAACATGGTGAAACCGTCTCTACTAAAAAAAAAAAGAAAGAAAGAAAAAAAAATTAATCGGATGTGTTGGTGGATGCCTGTAATCCAAGCTACTCAGGAGGCTGAGGCAGAATAGTCGTTTGAACCTGGGAGGCAGAGGTTGCAGTGAGGCAAGATCACAACACTACACTCCAGCCTGGGTGACAGAGTAAGACTCTGTCTCAAATAGATAAATAATGAAATCTATCACACATACAGGGAAATATAAGTAATTGAATGAACACTCATGTAGCAACTCAGCTTTAACAAATCTGTTCAAGCAGTTCTTCTGCCTCAGCCTCCTGAGTAGCTGGGATTACAGGCACGTGTCACCACGCCCAGCTAATTTTTTGTATTTGTAGTAGAGACTGGGTTTCATCATGTGGTCAGGCTGGTCTCTAACTTCAGAACTTGTGATCCGCCCACCTTGGCCTCCCAAAGTTCTGGGATTACAGGCATGAGCTACTGCACCCCATTTGTTTTTTTAATTGTGACAAAAACATAAGATTTAACTGTCTTCACCATTTTAAAGTATACAGTAATGTTAACTGTATATACATTGTTGTGTAACAGGTCTCTTGAACTTTTTTGTTTTGCATGACTGAAACTCTGTACCTATTTAACAATTACCCATTTTCCCCTAACCTCTGGCAACCACCACTCTCCTTTGTTTCTAAGAGTTTGACTACTTCAGATACCTCATAAAAGTTGAATCATGACTAGGATAGTGGATCACGCCTGTAATCCCAACACTTTGGGAGGCTAAGATAGGTGGATCACTTGAGGTCAGGAGTTTGAGACCAGCCTGGCCAACATGGTGAAACCCTGCCTCTACTAAAAATAAAAATGAGGGCTGGGTGTGGTGGCTCATGCCTGTAATCCCAGCACTTTGGGAGGCTGAGGCGGGTGGATCACGAGGTCAAGAGATCAAGACCATCCTGGTCAACATGGTGAAACCCCGTCTCTACTAAAAATACAGAAAATTAGCTGGGCATGGTGGCGCGTGCCTGTAATCCCAGCTACTCAGGAGGCTGAGGCAGGAGAATTGCCTGAACCCAGGAGGCGGAGGTTGCGGTGAGCTGAGACCGCATCATTGTACTCCAGCCTGGGTAACAAGAGTGAAACTCCATCTCAAAAAAAAAAAAAAAAAAAAATACAAAATGAGCCAGGTGTGGTTGCACATACCTGTAATCCCAGTTACTGGGGAGGCTGAGGCATGAGAATCCCTTGAACCTGGGAGGTGGAGGTTGCAGTGAGCTGAGATCATGCCATTGCACTCTAGCCTGAGTGACAGTGAGACTCTGTCTCAGAAAAAAAAAAAAAAAAAAAAAAAAAAGTGGAATCATGCAGTATTTGTCTTTTGGTGACTGAAAATTAGCCTGTGCTAATTTTTTACTCTCCAGGGCTCTTAACAGTAGCTACTAGTGTTACTCTGAGGTTTCTTTGTTAGCCCTTGAAGTTGATAAGGAAATGTTGAAGTTTCAGCTTGTTCTGTGACCAGTTATAGACAAAAGGTCATCCTCGACCTTTTTCTTTTTTTTAAAGGTGTGTGTCACCACATCTAGCTAATTTTTTTTTGTATTTTTAGTAGAGACAGGGTTTCACCGTGTTGGCCAGGCTGGTCTAGAACTCCTGACCTTAGGTAATCCACCTTCCTTGGCCTCTCAAAGTGCTAGAAATCCAGGTGTGAGTTACTGCGCCCAGCCTTGACTTCCTTTTATCATAGCACTGATACCTTTTTGTGAATCTGAATGATAGTTCCTACCTTTGGTCTAATGAGGGTATAGTTTGTAATATTTCAAAGACAAAATTCTTCAAGCAGTCCTAAAGATAAAAAGAATTTAAAATTATTACTACAATCTGCATATTGTTATTTTAAATATTGATGCTAAAGTCAGATCTTTGGACCTGGAAAGGTTCTCAAGACATCTTCTGGTTCAGTTCCCTGGTCCAAGGCAGCTAAATTATCCCAACTACTGTTTGAGATAAGCCAAGGTCCACAGAGGTAAGGACTGATGGAGGTAGAAGGGAAGAAGGAGGTTGTGTTGGTGATTGGTAAAAGAATTGACTGTTTATTCATTTATTCAATACCTGTTGTACTTCTACTATGGGTCAAGCACTTTTTAGGCACTAGAGTCAGTAGTGAGCAAACAGATAAAAATCTCTGTCCATTCTCATGGAAGGAGAAATAGATAAACTAAATAAGTAAATACATATTTGTCAAATAATAAGTACTCTGCAGAAATATAGATGGGAAAAGAAAGATAGAGTTTACCATGATTGAACAGTTGGGAAATGCAGTTTGAAATGGGGTAGACAGGGAAGCTCTCATTCCATTTGAGCAGACTTGAAGAGGTGAGGGAATGAACAATGAAGATTCTGGGGAAAATGTTTCAGACAGAAGGAACTTCAAATGAACAAGTCCTACGGCAGCAGAACACCCAGTATGTTTGAGGAAAAGCAGGGATGCCAGTGTGGCTGAAGTGGAGTGAATGAGATGGTGAGTAGTAGGAAATGAGGGGCAAAATCATTGGCCTCATTGGTCAGTGTAAGGACTTGGGGATTTTACTCTGTTGAGAAATCATCAGAAGGTTTGAGCAGAAGAGGTACATGAGCTAACTTTTCCCTTCAAAGGACACTGACTGTTGTGTCAAAAGGAGAGTATAGGGAGGCTAATGGAGAAGCTGGGAAGTAAGTTAGGATGCCGTTATATTAATGCAGATGAGATACTGGTTGTGGCTTGGAACAGAGAAGTGATGGTAAAGGTTGTGAGAGAGCCAGATTCAGGATAGATTTCTGAAGATTAAGTCAACAAAATATGCTGACACATTGTAAGTGGAAATCCTCAAGAATGCCAAACTCAAAGGACTCTAATTATGAGAATTTTAGAGATCATATGAAACTTCTAAGTTGCCAAGCACACTGATGAATTGTGCCCATCTGTTTGAATTGTTGAATTATGAGAAGCATGCCTTGGACTTTGGGCTAATATTCTTTTTTTTTTTTTTTTTTTTTGAGATAGAGTTTTGCTCTTGTTGCCCAGGCTGGAGTGCAGTGGCACGATCTTGGCTCACTACAACCTCTGCCTCCCAGGTTCAAGCGATTCTCCTGCCTCAGTCTCCCAAGTAGCTGGGATTACAGTCATGTACCACACCATGCCTGGCTAATTTTGTATTTTAAGTAAACACAGGGTTTCGTCATGTTGGACAGGCTGGTTTCAAACTCCTGACCTCAAGTGATCCACCCACCTTGGCTTCCCGAAGTGCTGGGATTATAGGTGTGAGCCATCGTGCCCAGCCATGGGCAAATATTCTTTTTTTTTTTTTTTTTTTGAGACGGAGTTTCGCTCTTGTTACCCAGGCTGGAGTGCAATGGCGCGATCTCGGCTCACCGCAACCTCCGCCTCCTGGGTTCAGGCAATTCTCCTGCCTCAGCCTCCTGAGTAGCTGGGATTACAGGCATGCGCCACCATGCCCAGCTAATTTTTTGTATTTTTAGTAGAGATGGGGTTTCACCATGTTGATCAAGATGGTCTCGATCTCTTGACCTCGTGATCCAACCTCCTTAGCCTCCCAAAGTGCTGGGATTACAGGCTTGAGCCACCGCGCCTGGCGGGCAAATATTCTTAACCTACATATTGAGGGAAATTTCATCTTATTTCCAATACAATTATATCCTAAGCAGTTTTTTGTGGTTCATAAATACTCTTTGTAACTTTTATTTCATATGTATCATTCTCTATTCTCAAGTGTCTTTATTTTTCTTCAAGGTAGAAGATGTTGTTAGCCCAAATAAATCGAGATTCTCAGGGAATGACAGAGTTTCCTGGAGGAGGGATGGAGGCTCAACATGTTACCCTGTGCTTGACAGAGGCAGTTACTGTGGCAGGTAAGCAATTGTGTTTGAAGGGATGGGTTTTGAAATAATCATTTATCTTAAGGGAAAATGAAAATTTATAACTTCCTAGTTCCTGATACAGCAGAAAACAATATAAATTTGGGCCTTTTTGTGAGTATTGTTACCTTGGTGTGGGTACAGTAGGGCAGGGAATTTTTGTTTTTCTTTCTTTTTTTTTTTTTTTTTTTTTGAGGCAAGGTCTCTGTCACCCAGGCTGGAATGCAGTACTGTGATCACAGCTGTCATGGCTTACTGCAGCCTCACCCTCCTGGGCTTAAGAGATCCTCTCACTTCAGCCTTCTGAGTAGCTGAGACTGCAGGCATGCACCACTGTGCTCAGCTAATCATTTTATTTTTAGTAGAGATGGGGTTTCACCGTGTTGCCCAGGCTGGTCTTGAACTCCTGGGCTCAAGCCATACACCTACCTCAGCCTCCCAAAGTGCTGGGATTACAGGCATGACCCATTGTTCCCAGCCTCTTTTTTTGGTAAATGCTAAATCTCATAATGAGTCTAAGTTAAGCAGTCTACCTTTTGCCTGATCCTTATTTTTTAAAAAATTAATCATCATGTCCATATGCTAGCTGTCTAAAGAAAATAATGATTTTTTTGTAATAGATGGTGACAACTTAGAAAATATGGAAGGTGTAAGCTTGCAAGCAGTAACACTTGCAGATGGTTCTACTGCTTACATACAACACAATTCTAAAGGTATGTGCCCCCCATATGGCTGATTGGTTAATACCAGTGATTTATAACCTCTGAGTTGGAGCACCTAGAAGCTATACCACCTTTCCTATCTCTCCTAAAGATGCTGTATTGCATATGATAATTTTAAGTCATTTCAGTGTAACTCACTTTTTTTTTTTTTTTTTTTAACAATTTGGGGTCGTCCTTTGAGATATTTGGGAGATACCCTCGGGTATAAAATTAGTGGGAGAGAGGAGAGCAGGGAGTGTCTCTGACCTATTTTCTAGTAAGATATTTCTTGCTTTTTTACTTCAGGTCATTATTTTATATTTTTACCAAATATGTATAAGAATAAAGACATTTGGGGCTAGGTGCGGTGGCTCACGCCTGTAATCCCAGAACTTTGGGAGGATAAGGTGGGCGGATCACCTGAGGTTGGCAGTTCGAGACCAGCTTGACTAGCATGGAGAAACCCCATCTCTACTGAAAATACAAAGTAGCCGGGCATGGTGGTGCATGCCTGTAATCCCAGCTACTTGGGAGGCTGAGGCAGGGGAGTTGCTTGAACCTGGGAGGCAGAGGTTGCGGTGAGCCCACATCGTGCAGTTGCACTCCAGCCTGGGCAACAAGAGTGAAACTCCATCTGGAAAAAAAACAAAAAGGACATTTGGTTTTGCTTATATCCCGTTGTCTCTGGTTAGTGTTTGCTTTGTTCCAGGGAACAGCCCAGTCCTCAGACTCTTTGTTTTTATGGAAACCTACTGAGTACATGTATACATAAACAAGGGTCTTATGGCCCTCAGGGATGAGAATGACAACTGACCTCACGTACACTGAGGTATCTGTCTGTCTTCCCAGCTTCAGCTCCCACCTTGTCAGGGTCACTGATCCTAAGTAACTCTGAAAGGTATATAGCAGTCCAACCCATGTAGCCTGCTGTGATGAGCCACTCTTCCTCTTGACCTCATCTAATTGAAAATTGCAGGGGAGGAAGGATGGCTGAGGGAGGATTTTCTGCTTTCTGTAGGATCACTGGATGTGTTATTGAATTGCCTCAGAACATTTGAGGGAAGAATCAAGATGAACACGAGCTTAAGTTGTGTATGTTTTTATAGTTGATACCATTTTGAAATTGTATAATGTTTAAAATTTTTGTTTGTGCTAATTTATTGTCTTGAATCTTTTTTTCTAGACGGAAAACTCATAGATGGTCAGGTCATTCAGTTGGAAGATGGTTCCGCTGCCTATGTTCAACATGTACCCATACCTAAAAGTAGTAAGTATTTAAGACAACAGCACAGGAAACCCTTCTGATTCTCAGTGTTTAGTATTTGCTGCCTGCAGCTCACTCTTACTACCTAAACTTGGTCTTGATCTCAAGTCCTCCTTCTGTAAAGGGAGATTATAGATGCCACAAAGTGGATCTTAACCAAGACTTTCTCTTAAAGTTAATGGAAAAGGGCCGAGGCGGGCGGATCACGAGGTCAAGAGATCGAGACCATCCTGGTCAACATGGCAAAACCCTGTCTCTACTAAAAATACAAAAAATTAGCTGGGCATAGTGGCGCGTGCCTGTAATCCCAGCTACTCAGGAGGCTGAGGCAGGAGAATTGCCTGAACCCAGGAGGCGGAGGTTGCGGTGAGCCGAGACCGCACCATTGCACTCCAGCCTGGGTAACAAGAGCGAAACTCTGTCAAAAAAAAAAAAAAAAAAAAAAAAAACGCCGGGCGCGGTGGCTCAAGCCTGTAATCCCAGCACTTTGGGAGGCCGAGGCGGGTGGATCACGAGGTCGAGAGATCGAGACCATCCTGGTCAACATGGTGAAACCCCGTCTCTACTAAAAGTGCAAAAAATTAGCTGGGCATGGTGGCGCGTGCCTGTAATCCCAGCTACTCAGGAGGCTGAGGCAGGAGAATTGCCTGAGCCCAGGAGGCGGAGGTTGCGGTGAGCCGAGATCGCGCCATTGCACTCCAGCCTGGGTAACAAGGGCGAAACTCCGTCTCAAAAAAAAAAAAAAAAAAAGTTAATGGAAAAGAAGTTATTGGATGGACTACATTGTGTAGATAAATGAGTAAGTCCTAAGTGAACGCTTCTATTATTTGAGCTGAATCTTAACATGTCTCTCATTTTCTTCATTTTTCCCCTTCTTTAAACTCTCTTTAACACTGGTATATATTCCTAAAACCGATATTTTAGTGTCTTTTTACCTTTCAACACTGACTCAAAGAAGCTTTGCTGAATTTACTTAAATGTTCAAAGACTCATGAAGCAAGTATAGATTGTTACAATGTGTTAATAGTTTATTGACTCTTGTTGCTAAGTGAGTTAATTGGAATGTGCTAGAAAACATGAGATCTAAATGTAAGCCTTGTTCTTGAGCAGGGGACAGTTTGCGTCTAGAGGATGGTCAAGCAGTGCAGTTAGAAGATGGTACCACAGCGTTTATTCACCATACCTCCAAAGGTAAAATAACTTTGAAAGTATGAATAAAATAAGGGAGAAGTGGAACTCCGGGGTTGGTGGGGGAAGGAAGACCTGAGTTTAGCTACTGAAGTGTTGTCATAGGAAAGAATTGTATTTGTTCATTGAAGTATATATTTAAGCATGGCAGATTTAAGCATTTAAAAAATTTTTTTTGAGACAGTCTTGCTCTGTTGCCCAGGCTGGAATTCAATGGTGCATCTTGGTTCTCTGCAACCTCTGCCTCCCAGATTTAAACAGTTCTTTGCCTCAGCCTCCCGAGTAGCTGGGATTACAGGCGTGTGCCACCACACCCGCCTAATTTTTTGTATTTTTAGAAGACATAACAGTTTCACCATCTTGGCCAGGCTGGTCTTGAACTCCTGACCTCATGATCCTTCTGCCTCGGCCTCCCAAAGTGCTGGGATTACAGGCGTGAGCCATCATGCTTGGCCCTCAAGCACGATTTAAGGAAAAACTGTCCTACAGTTTGAGCTGTCCGGTGACAAGTTGTAACAGCAAACCAAATGACTGCTCCCTGGAAGACTTAAAGTAGAGGCCACTTTTTGTTTTTTTGGTTGGCTTTTGTTTTAAGAGACAGGATCTCACTCTGTTGCCAGGCTGGAGTGCTGTGGCACAATCACAGCTTAATACAGCCTCAAACTTTTGGGCTTAGGGATCTTTTTCACCTCAGCCTCCTAAATAGCTGGGACTACAGGTGCACACTGCCATTCCCAGCTAATTTTTTTATTTTTTGTAGAGACAGGGTCTCACTATGTTGCCAGTGTAATCTGTAACTCCTGGCCTCAAGCCAGCCTCCCAAAGTACTGGGATTATAGGCATTAGCTACCACACCCAGCCTTAATTTCATGTTTTAAAAACAGCCTTGCTACTTTTTAAAAAGACTTAAGAAATAAAATCACAATATAACATTGAAATAGTTAACTTCAGGGCCGGGCGCGGTGGCTCACGCCTATAATCCCAGCACTTTGGGAGGCCGAGACAGGCAGATCACAAGGTCAAGAGATCGAGACCATCCTGGTCAACATGGTGAAACCCCGTCTCTACTAAAAATACAAAAAATTAGCTGGGCATGGTGGCGCGTGCCTGTAATCCCAGCTACTCAGGAGGCTGAGGCAGGAGAATTGCCTGAACCCAGTAGGCGGAGATTGCAGTGAGCCAGGATCACGCCATTGCACTCCAGTCTGGGTAACAAGAGCAAAACGCCTCAAAAAAAAAAAAAAAAAGAAAAAAGAAATAGTTAACTTCAGGGCCGGGCGCGGTGGCTCACGCCTGTAATCCCAGCACTTTGGGAGGCTGAGGCGGGCGGATCATGAGGTTATTGTCTACTAAAAATACAAAAATTAGCTGGGCGTGGTGTTGCGCGCCTGTAATCCCAGCTACTTGGGAGCCTGAGGCAGGAGAATTGCTTGAACCCGGGAGACGGAGGTTGCAGTGAGCCGAGATTGTGCCACTGCACTCCAGCCTGGCACCTGGTGACAAAATGAAACTCTGTCTCAAAAAAAAAAAAGAAATAGTTAACTTCATATTTTACTTATTACTTTATTTTAGAGATAGGATCTCAGTCAGGTTACAGTGCAGTGGCACAATCATAGCTCACTGCAGCCTTGAATTCCCAGGCTCAAGAGACCCTCCTGCCTCAGCCTCCTGAGCAGCTAGGACTACATGTGTGTGTCACCACAGCCAGCTTATTTTTTAATTTTTAAGTTTCTGATTAATTTTTTTTGTTAAATATAGGCTCTTGTTGTCCAGGCTTGTCTTGAACTCCTGTCTTCAAGCAGTCCATCCTGCTCCGGCCTCCCAAAGCACTGGGGTCACAGGCATGAGCTACTGTTCCTAACCTGTTTCTTTCTCTTAAATACAATTTTAAGGCCAGGCACCGTGGCTCATGCATGCAATTCTAGCACTTTGGGAGGCTGACGCAGGCAGATCACCTGAGGGTCAGGGGTTTGAGACCAGCCTGGCCATCATGGTGAAACCCCCTCTCTACATAAAAATACAAAAATTAGCTGGGTATGGTGGTGCATGCCTGTGATCCTGGCTAATCGGGAGGCTGAGGCAGGAGGATTGCTTGAACCCAGGAGGTGGAGGTTGCAGTGTAACTGAAATCATGGCACTGCACTCAAGCCTGGGCAACAGAGTGAGACTCTGTCTTAAAAATAAAAAAGGCCAAACAACAACAACAACAACAACAACAACAAAATAAAATAAAAAAGGCCAGGCATGGTATAATCCCAGCAGTATGGGAGGCTGAGGCGGGCAGATCACCTGAGGTCAAGAGTTCAAGACCAGCCTGACCAAAATGGAGAAAACCTGTCTCTACTAAAAATACAAAAATTAGCCGGGTGTGGTGGCACATGCCTGTAATCCCAGCTACTTGTAAGGCTGAGGCAGGAGAATCACTTGAACCTGGGAGGCAGAGGTTGCAGTGAGCTGAGATTACAACATTGCACTCTAGCCTGGGCAACAGGAGTGAAGCGCTGTCTCAAAAAAAAAAAAAAAAAAAAATATATATATATATATATATATATATATATACACACACACACACACACACACATATATAAATTATATATACATATGTTATATAATTTATATATATAATTTTATTTTACATATACACGTTTATAGTATAATTTATATATAATATATATTTATATATATAATTATAAATTTGTGAATAAATTGGTTTAATTACAGTTGAAAAAAATAAAGTCTGTACTTTTTTCTTTATCAGTAAGAGTTAGTCAAAGGTTCATTGTAACTGGCTAGATTTATTATTTCACTATATATATGGATATAAAATCACAATTTTATATTGATACCAATATAGACACAGATATATCTTGGTGTGGATATTTAGAAGGAAAAAAAACACCGTAGAGGAACTGTGGGGTCAAACTGACATGAGTTCAAATAGTGATTTCCCTACACACTGATTTTGACTGTTAATTGTTAGTGTTTTTGTTTTGTTTTACATTATATTTTCTTAAGTTTTTAAAGTAGGGATAGGGTCTTACCATGTTGTCCAGGCTGGTTTCAAACTCTTGTGCTCGAGTGATCTACCTGCCTCAGCCTCCCAAAGTGCTGGGATTATAGGTTTGAGTCACTGCACCAGCCTTTTAGTGTTTTTTAAATTTTCTGATGCCTAAGGAAAGTGATGTTTTAAAATTTCTGATGCCTAAGGAAACTTCTCCAGACCTGAGTTCCCGCTTATACAATGAGGGTGGTAAATATACCTGCCTTGCAGAATTGTTGAGAAGATTTAGTAAAATAACACATATAAAGTACATGGTCCAGTGGTTACTCAAAGTAACCACTCAGTGAAAGCTCGTTTCTCTCTTCCTTTAATATGTAAATGTCAGATTTTACCTTTAATTTAATGCCATTCTCTTCCACTCTCTCAGATAGTTATGACCAGAGTGCATTACAGGCGGTTCAGCTGGAAGATGGCACCACAGCTTATATCCACCACGCAGTGCAAGTCCCACAGTCTGACACCATCTTGGCAATTCAGGCAGATGGGACAGTAGCAGGTCTGCACACTGGGGATGCTACAATTGACCCTGACACCATCAGTGCTTTGGAACAGTATGCAGCAAAGGTATAGCATTTCACAGTGTCAAGAATGTCCCAGATATAGCTTCTTTATTTTTGATGAAAAGAAAAGAAAACAAAAAAGTACACCTCATCAAAAAAAAACTGGTCAGTTTTAGCCAGGCATGGCACAGTGGCTCATGCCTATAATCCCAGCACTTTGGGAGGATTGTTTGAGCACAGATCCCTGTCTCAATTTCAAAAATTAAAGAAAGAAAAACTAGCAATTCAAAGTCAAAATCAGTATCCAAAGAGATAATAATTTATCTTAAAGCAAATGAAGTATAGAAAGAAATATTGGGAAAAAAAGTAAGCGAATGGGTTGAAGTAAAGGCTTATGGAAGAGAAATGAGTGGCAGGTAATTCACCAAAAGATACACAAGGATGAAGGGCTATAAAAGAAGTAATCAAGTATAAATGGAACTGCTTATGAGTTAAAAGTGAGAACTATAGGCCAGGCGTGGTGGCTCATGCCTGTAATCCTAGCACTTTGGGAGGCCGAGGTGGGTGGATCACCTGAATTCAGGAGTTCAAGACCAGCCTGGCCATCATGGTGAAACTCCATCTTTATATTAAAAAAAAATATTTAAAAAAGAGGAAAAGTGGGAACTATAGGGAAAGTAAAGTCTTAATTAAGTTTTATATCAAAAGGGTTAATTTTTTTCCCCTGCATTGAACATGTATCTCTCATATAACTTAAAAGGTTTTTTATTTCACTTTTATTATTTTCTTTTTTTCTTTTTCTTTTTCTTTTTGAGACGGAGTTTCGCTCTTGTTACCCAGGCTGGAGTGCAATGGCGCGGTCTCGGCTCACCGCAACCTCCGCCTCCTGGGTTCAGGCAATTTTCCTGCCTCAGCCTCCTGAGTAGCTGGGATTACAGGCACGCACCACCATGCCCAGCTAATGTTTTGTATTTTTAGTAGAGACGGGGTTTCACCATGTTGACCAGGATGGTCTCGATCTCTTGACCTCGTGATCCACCCGCCTCAGCCTCCCAAAGTGCTGGGATTACAGGCGTGAGCCACCGTGCCCGGCCCTCTTTTTTTCTTTACAAGCAAAATAAATAGAGACAGGTCTCGCTCTTTTGCCCAGGCTAGTCTTGAACTCCTGCGCTCAAATTATCCTCCTACCTGAGCCTCCCAAAGCTAGGATTACTTGTATGAGTCACCATGCCAAGCCTATTATGGAAATTTTCAAATACACACAAAAATCAATGATAATGAAACCGCACGTACTTTTTTCCTTTTATTCTTTTTGTAAGCTTCTCCCTGAACCATGTACTTTCCCAGCCTAAGCCATTATCAAAACTTAAAATTTTTTTTTTTTTTTTTTTTGAGATGGAGCCTTGCTCTGTTGCCAGGCTGGAGTGCAGTGGCACAGTCTTGACTCACTGCAGCCTGTACCTCCTAGGTTCAAGCAGTTCTCCTCCCTCAGCCTCCTGAGTAGCTGGTACTACAGGCACACACCACCATGTCCAGCTAATTGTAGAGATGGGGTTTCACTCTGTTGGCCAGGATGGTCTCAATTTCCTGATCTCATGATCCTCCTGCCTCAGCCTCCCAAAGTGCTGGGATTACAGGCATGAGCCACCACGCCTGGCCAAAATATAAAACTTTTTAAAGCTTTATTTTATTCTTATAGGTGTCCATTGATGGAAGTGAAAGTGTAACAGGTACTGGAATGATTGGAGAAAATGAGCAAGAAAAAAAAATGCAGGTATGTAAAGCTACTTTTTAATATAAAAATCTGTCTTAGCATTTCTGTGCTCTTCTGTGGATGAAAGCAAGAATAGGTAACTCATTACCTCTCTAGGAAAATCTCACCAATTCAGAAAAGCAATGTATGTATTAGATAGCAGCTTTCCCAAACTGCCTGAGGTCCCATTGTTCATCGGTGGATGCAAAATGACACTAAAGAAATGGAAATAATCACAGAAATCCAGGTGGAGCTTGTGTCCTGGATTCAAAGGCAGTTTTCTGGACAAGGCAGTTGTGGAGACCAGGTGATTCCCTGACTGCCCCCATCCATGGCAGTTTGTGAATACTTTCTCTGGGACTTCATGACTGTTTCTAAATAACCTTCACTGCTTTGCTTTTTATATTTTTAGATTTCTTCTCCTTCCACTTGATTCCCTCCATATTTTCCTTTTCAACTTCTGAAGGGGAAGTCCAGACTAGCTAATTATCATTATTCTTCCTGGACAGATTTGTTTATACTTTTTCTACCAGATGGTTTCCTGGTCTGCAGGTGGCCTATGGGCTGGCTTCTCATGGTTCAGATGTTTACCCTGGGTCCAGTCATTGGCTGCCCCTTAACTAAGTAACAGCCTAGACCACCAGTGCTTCTAAAAGTTTTGTAGTAAGTACGTAGTAGTCACAGGTGCATTCTTGAGTATCTTCAAAACTTACATTATTCAAGAATTGTTGTTTTGTGTTTGGGGGGATGTTTATGTGGAGGGTATTCTTGGAGCTTATACAGTCATAGTAGTACATTCCTGCTCTACTGCTGCTTTTTATTTTCTCAGCAGTTAGCTCTATTTTTTTTTTTTTGAGACAGAGTTTCACTCTTATTGCCCAGGCTGGAATGCAGTGGCACCTGACCTTATCTAATATTTTGTTGTCTTCCTTTATGCTAATTTTTTCTTTCATTCTTCAGAATTTTTTTGTTTTGTTTTGTTTTTTTTTAAGAGATGGGATTCCAAGCCGGGCGCGGTGGCTCAAGCCTGTAATCCCAGCACTTTGGGAGGCCGAGGTGGGTGGATCACGAGGTCAAGAGATCGAGACCATCCTGGTCAACATGGTGAAACCCCGTCTCTACTAAAAATACAAAACATTAGCTGGGCATGGTGGTGTGTGCCTGTAATCCCAGCTACTGAGGAGGCTGAGGCAGGAGAATTGCCTGAACCCAGGAGGCGGAGGTTGCGGTGAGCCGAGATCGCGCCATTGCACTCCAGCCTGGGTAACAAGAGCGAAACTCCACCTCAAAAAAAAAAAAAAAAAAAAAAAGAGATGGGATTCCACCATGTTGGTCAGGCGAGTCTTGAACTCCAGACCTTGTGATCCGCCCATCTCAGCCTCCCAAAGTGCTGGGATTACAGGCGCATTCTTAAGAGTTTTATTGTATTTAACTCCTAAAGTCACTACTTGAGGGTCACATTTATTACCTCAAGCATTAACATGACCACTTAATGACATTGAATGATACTGTTAGGGGTTATCAAGAAGATTTTACATTTATCCTGATAGTAAGTGATAAAATAACAGGAATCACTGAAATCACTTGTAGAAATATGATCCTCCTGGGTGAGCACAGTGCCTCACACCTGTAATCCCAGCACTTTGGGAGGTCAAGGCAGATGGATCACCTGAGATCAGGAGTTCAATACCAGCCTGGCCAACATGGTAAAACCCTGCCACTACTAAAATACAAAAAAATTAGCCAGGCTTGGTGGCAAGTGCCTGTAATCCCAGCTACTCAGGAGGCTGAGGCAGGAGGATCACTTGAACCCAGGAGGTGGAGGTTGCAGGGAGCTGAGATTGTACCCTTGCACTACAGCCTGAGCAACAACAAAGAGACTTCCTCAAAAAATAAAAGAAAGAAAAAAGAAAAAGAAATAGAAATAATGCTTCTAAACATTGCTGAATAGCTAATATTTTTGTTTACCAGCTTAAGTGATGCCACAAAGTGGCAATAATATAAACACAGTTTGCAGTTTACTAAGCCCATCAGCTTTGATGGTATGTGATTCTTAGCCAGATTTTCAGGTCTCAATTTATATTCATATTTTATGAATGAAATCAGACTTTAAGGCAGGTGTGGTGGCTCTGCCTGTAATCTGAGTACTGGGCTGAGGTGGGAGTATTGCTTGAACCAGAAGTTTGAGACCAGCCAGAAGAACAAAGTGAGATCCTGTCTCTACAAAAAATTAAAAAATTAGCAAGGCTTGGTAGCACACATTTGTTGTCCCAGCTATTTGGAAGGCTGGGCCAGGAGGATCCCTTGAGCCCGGAAAGATTGAAGTTACAGTGAGCCGATTGCCTCACTTCACTCTAGCCTGGGCAATAGAGCAAGACTCTATTCCCCTTGACTTTAGTATTTTTTATACAGTTCTATGTCAAATCTAGCTAAGTCAAATTCTACTAAGATGCAAACACAGGGTAAATATATGCAGGAGATATAGATCAGTGACTTGGAGTATTGAAGTGGTCCAGTAAGTTCTCTGTCTTATTGGTAACTGTCAAACAACTACATTTTAAAATAATAGAATATTTTAAAGAAAAGCAGTTGTAGGCTGGGTGCAGTGGCTCACATCTGTAATCCTAGCACTTTGGGAGGCTGAGGCAGGCAGATTATCTGAGGTGGGGAGTTCAAGACCAGCCTGGCCAACATGGCAAAACCCTGTCTCTACTAAAAATACAAAAATTAGCTGGGCATGGTGGCAGACACCTGTAATCCCAGCTACTTGGGAGGCTGAGGCAGGAGGTTTGCTTGAACCTGGGAGGTGGGGGTTGCAGTGAGCCAAGATCATGCCACTGCACCCCCGCCTTGGCAAGAGAGCAAGACTCCATCTCAGAAAAATATATATCATAACTAGGAATTCAGAACTGCTGAGGCAAATGTCATAAAAAGCCCCATTACTCTTTTATCTGTAGACATATTACCATTTGGTATTGGTACCAATAGACAAATAGAGACAGTTGAATAGGACTTTTTTTTTTTTTTTTTTTGGACTATAGCTTTTTCTTCTTTGCCTTTTGTACCTGTTCTTTACAGACTAGATCTGCAATGTCCAATACAGTTGCCACTAGCCACATGTGGCTGTTGAGCACTCGAAATGTGGCTAGTCCAAATTGAGATGTGCTGTAAGTGGATTTTGAAGACATAATATGAAAAAAAGAATGTAAAATATCAATTTTTTATATTGATAATGTATTGAAATGATAATATTTTGGACATATGGTGTTAAATAAAATAATTACTAAAATTAATTTCACCTGTTTCTTTTTACATTGTCAATTGGTTACTAGAAAATATTTGTGTTTTATTTTATTTATTTACGTATTTTGAGATGGAATCTTGCACTGTTGCCCAGGCTGGAGTGCAGTGGCATGATACCAGCTCACTGCAACCTCCACCTCCTGGGATCAAATGATTCTCCTGCCTCAGCCTCCCAAGTAGCTGGGATTGCAGGCATGCACCACCACACCCAGCTACTTTTTTTTTTTTTTTTTTGGCGTGTATTTTCTCATACCCTCCTACTTTTTGTATTTTTAGTAGAGACAGGGTTTCGCCATGTAGGCCAGGCTGGTCTCAAACTCCTGACCTCCAGCAGTTCACCCGACTCAGCCTTCCAGAATGCTGGGATTACAGGTGTGAGCCACCACACCTGGCCTATTTTATTTATTTATTTATTTTTTGAGACAGGGTCTTGCTCTGTTGCTTAGGCTGGAGTGCAGTGATGTGGTGTTGGCTCATTGCATCCATGATCTCCTACATTTTTTTTTTTTTAAAGAGATCGAGTCTTGCTTTGTTGCCCAGGCTAGTCTCAAACTCATGGGCTCAAGAGATCCTTCCAGCTTGATCTCCCAAAGTCCTGGGGTTACAGATGTGAGCTACCTTGCCTGGCCAGAAAATTTTTTTTTTTTTTTTAGATGGAGTTTCACTCTTGTTGCCCAGGCTGGAGTGCAATGGCATGATCTCTGCTCACCACAACCTCCGCCTCCTGGGTTCGAGCCTCTCTCCTGTCTCAGTCTCCTGAGTAGCTGGGATTACAGGCATGCGCCACAACACCTGGCTAATTTTGTATTTTTAGTAGAGATGAGGTTTCTCCATGTTGGTCAGGCTGGTCTCAAACTCCTGACCTCAAGTGATCTGCCTGCCTCAGCCTCCCAAAGCACTGGAATTACAGGCATGAGCCTCTGTGCCCAGCCAGAAAATTTGTAATTACATATGTGGCTTGCATTTGTGACTCATTATATTTCTCTTTATTAGTGCTTGATCAGTTATGACTTCACCATTTTTTAAAACAATTAAGTACCATATTTTAGGTTGAGAACCCAATACTTGGTTTTTTGTTGTTTTTGTTTTAGGTGACAGGGTCTTGCTTTGTTGTCCAGGCTGGAGTGCGATAGTGTGATCTTGGCTCACTGAAACCTCTGCCTCCTGGGTTCAAGCGATTCTCCTGCCTCAGCCTCCTGAGTAGCTGGTAGTGCCACTAATTGTTTATATTTTTGGTAGAGACAGGCCTTCACCATGTTGGCCAGGCTGATCTTGAACTTCTGACCTCAAGGGATCTGCCTGCCTTAGCCTCCCAAAGTGCTGGGATTACAGGTGTGAGCCACTGTTCCCTTGCTTTTCTTAGTCTCTTTTTTCACCTCTAAAAGAAAGGTATTAATTAGATTCATGATTATTATCTCAGGGGCACAAGTTGTTTTTTTTTTCTTTTTTTTGAGATGGAGTCTTACTTTGTCTCCCAGGCTGGAGTGCAGTAAACTGACCTCAGCTCACTGTAACCTCCACCTCCCGGGTTGAACTCCTGAATTCCAGTGATCCACCCAACTTGCCCCCGACGTGCTAGGATTACAGGTGTGAGCCACTGCACCCAGCCAAAAGATTTTTTTAAGTAAGATTTTTAGTAGGTTTTTTTATTTTGAGACGGGGTCTTGCTTTCTTGCCCAGGCTGGAGTGCAGTGGCACAATCTCGGCTCACCACAACC